ATTATCCGCCGGGGACTATACTTGATTATACATGTAGGTTAGAACATTTCACATCCACAATGTCATGTAGAAGGTAAAATGTACTTGTTACATATGTGCATGACTTGTTCATGCAATGACCATAATTATGTATGTGAACGTCCCTACCAACCTCCACTGTCTGGGCACATTGTTAATTGTTGTTGTATACTGTATTTATGTAATCAAAGCAGGCATATGCCTAATAAGAATGGACCCGTGTGGTGGTGGTGTGCTCATTTGACCAAGCTTTTCAGCATCAGTACTCTTTGTTTCGTTGGCAAACACACCGTTGTTTGCTGTTGGTCCAGACTCGACTCACCTACCGCACAGACTGAATGGACGATTCAAGGACAGTTGGGTGGCTCTGGTGCAAGTGGTTGATGACAGGGTCAATCTGGTATTTCTCTTCTGTAATTGGCGGATAGGTGGCGGCGAAGCGTCTACTCGTACTTAGGCGGCGTGTAGGTGGCACACTCCTAGCTCCTGAGAGAACACTTGCGTGTGTGGATGTGTCATAATTCAACTCACCCTTTGGCACCTGTCATTCTTGGCCCTGTCATGACAGACAAGATAACTAACTTGCCGTTTCGTTGCGAGCCTGTATACCTGCAATGCACCCTTTGCTTGGGCATTGTCCAGTCCAGTCTGTGGGCCATGGCCCTGGACCATGGAACTAACTCCGTGCCGGAAGATGATGGGCGTTTCAGTGTTTGTGTTCTCCAGCAGGCTGATATAATGTCAATACACCTGTGGCTACATGTATACAGTTTGGGTGAATGACCCTCTGGGTTTTCAAACCTCATGCACCCATAAAGACCACAAACCCCTGGGCGATCTTCATGACCATGCAAGTAATATTAAACTATTATCTTCAGAGAACGTTGGTCTAGACCAATGCCAAGGAAAATCAAAACAGACAAAACGCATGACTTGTGCCCCTCTGTTCTCCATGTTTTCAATTATATTATTATTTCCTTGGCTCATCAATGAGTCACCATCAAAGATAATGAATGTGCAGCATTCCGCACGACACGGTGCATGCCAGACTGAGATACGGGTGTCGGGGCTGTAACCTTCCGTGGGGTCTTCAGGAGGCTCTGACGTTGTTGCCGCCATATGCACAAGAATCACCAAACGGGCATTTACCTTGACAATATTGAGCATGATATCAACTAATATAGTAAACAAAACAGCAGAAGTGTTGATGAAGCAGTCTCAAGAATCCGTCCATGTTGGTGTAAAATAATTTAAGTCAGTTATGACAATTTTCCAGGGGCGGATTGTGATTTTTATAAGTATAGACTGACAATTTGTTTCCTTTGACTCTTTCATGATCTGTGTTCGTAGTTGAAATGCACCAAATACTTGAGATGCCTTTTGATGGCATCTACCTGGACAAGAATGATTGTTTCAATACTTAAATTAACACAACATCATTGACCAACAACCCCGTCGTTACCCCTACAGCTGTATATTACTGGGCTACTGGCAATGCAGTGTATGCTTGTGATTGAACACTGACTACAGCAGGTACTAGTACATAATGTCATGATGATTGTACATGTATCGTACTACATGTATGTAAAGCAAGTGGTTCGAAAGCGTCGGATGTGCCCTCTTTCCAGGTACATACACTGTACATACTGTACATACATGTATAATGGCTTGTTTTCTGTGTTCCGCCATCATTCAAACCACATCACTCAATCACACCGAGACTATTAAAGCTGCTATTTACATGTGCTTGCAAAAGTCCATGATTTAAGGCAGAGCTAAATGACACCAGCAAGTTTGCAAACGTGTGTCACAAGTTCAAATCACATAATAATAATAATAATAATAATACCAAAAGTGTTTAATAGTTTCACGTCCTCGGTTCATAGACTATACGTCATGTAGATCGACCTCTCACATCGAGACCCTATGATCATGGCGATGCTGTGATGAAACACTGGCCGCGGGTTGGGCGTGAGATCACCGCAAATCCATTGTACTTGCATTCTCGGCGTCGTGAACTGCAGAATACTTGAGGAAACAGCCAGGGAGGGGAGGAGGGGGTTCTTCTATACGTCGGACTGGCAGTGTGTACTGCATGTCTGCAACCCTGACTTCATTCTCGTACTGAACATAGCATTCCTGACATCGGTTGAGAGTAGAATATTGGCCCTGTCACATTATGCCCACTCAAGAGATACAATGTATTATTCTGTAATGACTGCATTGTCATCCTTCTTCGTCGCCCAGCTAAGCTGATTCGTCACTCTTCCGCATTGGCTATTGAATCAGCGCCGGTTGCCACGATTAGCAACGATGCGCGTTCAAGAATACAATGCTAACCAACCATATTCGTCACACCCACACAAGCGCCTAATACACTTGACCATTGCACTGGGGGGGGGGGGGGGGGGGGGGAGGTAACTTGGACATGTATGATGTACGTCGTGTAGCTGACAGAAAGGGTAGATGCATTGAGCTGCGCTTTGTGCCACGGGCGGCGCGTTGCTTGGGTTTATGCGGTACGGCGCACTCTTGTTGGACGGTTGGATCGTGGAGCATCCCGTCCTTGACAGTAGTTATTCTATCAGTGAATTGCAGCTGTATGAAAGGTTATCACGAGATATTTGCACTGTTAACGTCTCACAGGATGACAGTCTACCAGCATAGACCAACGGAATGGACAAATCACCAGTCTTCCTTTTTCCTTTACTTGATCTTGGGCCCTCTCATGCATACCAGCTCTTTAGAGGAAGGGACAGTCTCCCCAAAGTTCGGGGATTAAAAAGTAAATACTCACAATGGCGGCAAGAATGAGATAAAGTTCAATAATACTGATATCACCAGCACCAGTATACACGAGTATGCACATAAGTATTCACCATTCAAACTGGGGATATAGCCTTATAGGCAGTGATAAAGTGTTCTTTGTCGGCTCATCAGCGCAGCACATACAGCATACGGCGCATAACCTCGGGTTGGGTCGGTATTTCTGAACAGTTAGTTTCTAGCTTTGAAATGGACCGGAGTCCGCATGCCACCGTACTGGAGACGCATGACAAGCGCAGTCGGGCATGCCTTTCGTCGCCACTTACCAGCGTGCATGTCAATTGGATTTCAAGCTGGCTGTGTTTGTTTATTGCTCCAGTCTTTGGTGTAGCTAATTCCTTTCTATTGCATGCACAGATGGTCGACGGTCATAGGCATTCCCAGGCCCGGGGCTGAGGTCTTAATTATCGTTTCGTCCGCCTTAGCACCCAATATGGCTTGGCATGTTGCTACCCTGTTGTATGTACCGCTACTACAGCCTTCGAGGCGATTGCCGAAGGAAATGCTCTAGTTTGATCCAGTTTTACGGGGAAATCTGCGTAGAGGGCTCTCTGATCTGGGGAAGGGAATATCATACCGTATTTTGCCAGTTCCCAATTTCACCTTAGACTATAAATTGAGCTGCATCGCCTTCCTAAACATGATCCAGTTCCAAAGAGTAGCAAGTGATTCAGAATATACATGTATTCAAGTTTTCTTGCTTTATCAACTTCTCTTCCTTTTCAACAACTTGGTTGGTATAAGGATTAACGTTACTCACTGTCGCATGCTCCGTGACAATATCTTTCTTTGGACGTTCTGTGGATCGTCCAACCCGTATTCTTTATTCCCTTTGTCATGGCATTCCTTGGCGGTGCCCGTGCCAGTCAACTGACTAGACGTGGAAAACTCAACATGCAGTGGGTACCCTGTGCCTGTGGCCACGTAGTACTACTGTCACTGGTCTATTCTGTTCTTCTTTCCAACATTGCGTTCGCTGTCGCGAGTAGTGCTACGGCTACACCCTGCACCAGAACCAGCTATGAGTACAATCGAAATGGGAATGACATTCACTTCGACCCCGCTAAGCGTAGCTACTCCATAGACGTCAACATCGACCAGCGCGTTAACCCTGTAACATTCAAGTGTGGCGAGGAGCCATTGGCGAACGAGGACCTCGCCTTTCTCGAGCTACTCACAGAGACGTTCACTCAAGCGTCCATCGCCATGCACGAAGCAACTCGCTACAATGCCCATATCGGTGAAGTTAGGTTTCTGCTGCCCGATACATGGCGAACGGAAAACTTCAGAGAGAATCAAGACGTAGTGGAATGTCACAGTAGTGATCCGGAAACGTCCTCCATACGTATTGTAGAGAATCCGACGGAGTGCAGTGCCAAAGTGAGAGGAACTGATTGTTGCGGACTTCCTGCTTCTGGTAAAATGACGCTCGATTCTGGTGTCTTCTTCCCCTGCAATAGGGTAAGTGTGCATCTATAATCATGCAAGTGCGCGCGTGTGCGTGCGTGCATACGAATCATGTGTACGTATGACGAATGTGTGTGTGTATGTGCGTTCACGTGTGTGTGTGTGTGTGTGTGTGCGTGCACGCACGTGTGTGTAGTTGGGAGGGTGCATGCTTCCACACTTGGGTGCAGGTTGGTGGGATGGGATACTGAACTGAAGCAGTAGCAATCGACTAATGTACTGTATACTTCGAGGTAGTTACAGCGCAGCTTTGTGGTTCAAAGCAACGACCAACTGTACAGGACTCGTACTGTTCAGCCTTCATAGTCATACGCTTTCCTCGGCAGAAGATTGGAGGGGGTCACGCGACAAAGCACAGGCGCCGCCTCAGCGGCAAGCTTGGCGCCGGAAAATGTAGGGAATGCTTCGGAATGACACCCCCCCCCCCCAATCCACCGTCCTACGCTACGTCAGTACGTGCACAGTATACCGGTACATGTACTAGTAATAGTAGTAGTACTGACTTATTTTGTGCAGCCTGCGTGTCATGATAATTATGATGATGTCTTGGATCATGGAATGAAAATATTTTCCGTGTACAGCGTGTGTAGCCACTGTGGCGTATCGCGCGGCATCGCTGGACCTGGTGTGAACTGTGAACTGAACTACCGGTACTTGTAAACTGTTCCTATCTTGTTCCACAATGACTGCAGGCTGCTGATAACTGCGACGATCCAGCGAAGAAGATTGTTCACGAATTCGCCCATTTGCACTGGGGAATCGGTGACGAGTACAAGAAGAGCAACCCCAGCGTGCCAGAGTGCCCAGAAGGAAAAGAGAACACCAAGGATGGCAGGGGCGTCTCCGTCATGGCCTCGACGAAAGATCACGTAAGTCATGCCACTATGTAAGGTGTAATGTTACGGAACTTACTTGAGCCATGCGCCTACCGAGTAGCGACGCAGGAAGTTATAATTGTGTCGGGATCTCAGATGCATCGATGGTGAACTAAGGGTCCGTTCGAATTGTCCTCATCAACTTTTCGAACAAATGAGAGATTTGTTGAAGTGTCCCAATACTGCAGTAGCACGGTTTCTATCATTTTAGAGTTTTTCTGTAGAATTGTCATGGCGATAATGACGTCCGATCCGATCGACCATCTCGACATAGCTAGGTATTCCAAACTCTTCGGAACTAATCCACCTCTCCCATCGGATGAGGTTGTGGAGTTTTGAGGAGACTTTCGTTTTCTGAAGAGGTCAATGAGCAACCTCTTAAGAAAAACGAAAACTCCTCGAAAATCAAAGAGTGACAGTTCGAACGCGCCCGTAGAAGTAGCAACTTCGACGATAATAGTAGATTTTACGTTGGGGTTACGCTAGCTGCCGAACTTGGCACTTCATACCTGACTCTCACGGCAGCCATCCAGAGCGCATGAAGAGCTTGATGAACCGTCCACTCAGGAAACAGTTAAGCTGCAAGAAACCGTCTTCTCTCTGCTCAAAGCAGGGATGGCGGCCGTGAGTTGAGCGCCAAGTAACTTAGTTCGGCAGGTAGCGTGGCCAGCATAGTGTTTGTCCATGCACAGTTCTCATGGGTCGGTCGACCAGCAGGCCACTTTTGGTAAAATACAAGTTGTGTTAGGGACCATTGCAAAAGCTCTCATAAGCCCACCAAAAAACGAGTATTCCGGGAAATCTCGTCACTGTTGTCGAACGCGTAGTTGATATTTAGGACCTAGTTGTACTGTAATGAAGGGAAACCCTGCTGAAAAATAAAAAAATTAATAGGATAGAGGAAACTTCAGGGTTTGAGCATCCAACCATGTTAGGCCCGAACTACATTTGCTAGCCTTCGGAAACAAAAATACAGGTGCTGAACTCTCATGCCAGATGAAATTTACCAGATAAGTAGACCTTTTTGCCAGCCAGCTGGCCTCTGCGTACACCGCAGACACACCCACACACAACAGAAAGATACAGATCACTGTAGTAGTGTGGTCTTTGTTCACTCACGAGGTGGAATATGGAAGAGCTTAGGGTAGTGTATACATGAGCAAGAAGAAGGGCATGCCACCTCACGCATATACATGTACATGCACACGCATGTACCAGAACAACCCTGAGGAAAAACCGGTAAGAATAATCCCATAAGATAAATGAACAAAACGTAGCCTGCAGGACCTATCCCGAAGTGAGAATAAAGGGGAGGGCGGGTGGGGAACTACAACGAAAAGAGAAAGACCACGATGAAGAGAAAAGTTTGAGAACACTGACAAAAAACCAGCTGACGCAATCCTGGTGCCGTAACCATGGTGAAAATGCTGGCAAAAAATACATTTTTCGTTTCATTCGCTACGCTCAGCCAACGAAAAATACTGACCCGGGCTAAACCCAGGGCTAAAAAAGGGCTAACAGTTAGTTGAGAACTTGACTGACAACGTGGGTGTAACTGGCCTTGAAGCAGGAAATCGAGGCCCCAGGTATGCGGGGAGGGGGGGGGGAGGAGGGGGGGGGCTTACATGTACTTGTATAACCGAGGTCTAACTGCCCTTGAAGCGGAAATCACTGAAGCCCCACTTATACCCGGGGTCGACTTACAACCCGTAAAAAAATTGTACTCGATCGGCTGCTTCTGTTCACTGTCTGCAGGCGCACTTTTTCTGTGATAACCTAGCCAGAGGAGACAATGCAAGCAGCAGTGTCCTGCACAATTCCAATGCTGATACCAATCACAATGAACTGTGCCAAGGTAGAAGTGCTTGGGAGGTTCTCCGCCAGTACCAGGACTTCAGTAACTCGCACACGAAGAAACCCAACACCAGCCTGACCCCTGTGTTTAGGGTGAGTTGAAGATTGTTCAAATTACTCAACACCGCAAGTATCAGTATGAATTTATCTTGCCAAACAAATTTCCAGATTACAACAGCAGGAATGGGATCATGGTGACCTTCTCTGCTTTCAGGGGCGGCGGAACCCATCCGGTTCAATGGTCAGGCTATGACTCAGTGGACCAACTCTTTGGCCATGCACCAATGGGTGTTTACTGCTGAGGGGGTGGGTCATGTGTACCCGCCAAATCATACACAAAGTACGAACGGCTTGGGTATGGCCGGGCTAATCAAAAACTGCTCCCGCCAGTCCTTTTAAGGTTAATGTAGGTGATCTTGATGGTTTGGCACATTCTGCCTCTTGGGCCATGATGTCACCGCAATAGTGATGATGTCACTGCAATAGTGATGATGCATGTGAGCACTGCAAGACTTTAGCTGGTCATGCCACCAAGAATATGCTAGCTCCCCCAGAGACACCAAGGCAGCAGGGCCTTAGCCGGCAGTGAGGGTGGCTGAAATGTTAAATCGTATTGGAAAAGGAGTGGTCCCAGCTCGTTTTATTTTGTCACCTGCAACAGCGGGTTAGTGGGTATATCGGGACAAAGGTTGACCATGTCACGTACAGGAAGTGCTGCTTTCTTGCTTCTTGCTAAGGTAGAAGATAGCCTGGGCTTGACAAATGTGCCTGGCCCGGTGCACTGCATTATGTAAGCGTGTGCCGTCGACAGGGAGTATACAGCAAGCCCAGCTCGAATTGCACACTCCGGTGTGTGAGTGTGTGTGAGTGTGCGTGTGCGTGTGTGTGTGTGTGTGTGTGTGTGTGTGTGTGTGTGTGTGTGTGTGTGTGTGTGTGTCTGTGCGATGGGGAGGGTGGGAGGAGGGGGGGGGGTACTCTTGTCGGTACTGTGGTCCTGAATGCACAATACAGCGTGCGGTACTTCAACATGCTCTAATTTCCTTCTGTCCCCTCTTCAGTATGCTGTCAAGTGTACAGGAGAACTGAATGTGTTCATCGTCGATGTTGCCAACAGAACAACTCGTCCCAAGAATGCTAACCGAAAACAGCCAATCAACAAGTTCCTAGGACTTGTGTGGCGTAGAATTGAAGGACTTTTCAGCACCTCAACATCGAACTATGCCAATGCAGCCATCATCACATATGACAGCAGCGGCAAATCTCAGGATGTCATCACAAAGTCACCGAAAGTTCTCCTTGCCAACGTGAGGGGAAAGACCCAGCTGGGCAAAGACATGCTTCAGCTTCGACATGGTGTGAATTCGGTGAATGCAGCATCACTGGACAAAGCTCTTGATCTTGCCTTAGACCTGATGCAGCATGTTGTGTGGGTAACCAAGCAGACACATGAATCATCCACGCGTCGAGCTATCGTCATCAGCAAGAATCTAGTTTCGCTCAGTTCATCTCTGTGCAAACCCGTACCGGAAGATGTGCCTGGGGCGCAACTACTGTTCTTCAGCACGTCTGTGCCTAGAAACGCCATTCATCCCTGCAACACGTCCGTCCCAAGGCGATTCTGCCGTCACATCCACCACCTGGCCCATTTCACCAACTACACTGCCCAGTGCACAAGGACAGTGTTTGGAGCGTCTGCCTACATACCACAGTCACGGGGCACCAGGACAATCGCGGGCAACATCAACATGAACGCAAAGACTGGACGTCCTGCTGCAGGTCGAATGGATTACAACATACATGTAACTGTGAAAATTAACCCACCTGCCCGGTTCACGTTAAGATTTCAGTTCCAGCACTTCGACCCCAATGAAGTCGGCCGTAAGATCAACAGGACAATGAATGCTACATTAGACCATGATGAGCAGATATGGCACAAAGGCTTTGAGGTAAGACGCGCCATTGGAGTTAATTAATTGATCTCCACCCTGTTCTCTCCACCCTGTTCTCTCCACCCTGTTCTCTCCACCCTGTTCTCTCCACCCTGTTCTCTCCACCCTGTTCTCTCCACCCTGTTCTCTCCACCCTGTTCTCTCCACCCTGTTCTCTCCACCCTGTTCTCTCCACCCTGTTCTCTCCACCCTGTTCTCTCCACCCTGTTCTCTCCACCCTGTTCTCTCCACCCTGTTCTCTCCACCCTGTTCTCTCCACCCTGTTCTCTCCACCCTGTTCTCTCCACCCTGTTCTCTCCACCCTGTTCTCTCCACCCTGTTCTCTCCACCCTGTTCTCTCCACCCTGTTCTCTCCACCCTGTTCTCTCCACCCTGTTCTCTCCACCCTGTTCTTTCCTTTGCCTTACAACTTACCGTGTAGGCTGTGAGTAAGCTAACTCAGTATCATGTGACTAGCAGATAGATTAGAAGATACTTGTAGTAGTCCGATCCTGTACCTGCGGTGCCAATACAAATACCTAATGGTAGATGAAAGAGCACTGACATTGTCCACCAACAGCACGAATACCCGCCAAAAGCCTAGAGGCTGGTGTTTATCGGGAAAACAAGACTTGAATGTGTTGAGGTCACACACGGCTAGGTGTTGGTAAAATAACCACGTCCGACTCTGCAGATTGCCGCACCTGCTCTTCGGTAGCTTTGTGTGTGGCATGTGAAAAGGTGAATGCTAACTGGCTTCTAGTGTCACATGCTGCTGGCGTGACCCGTTCATGCACGTGAATATGACAGAAACTGACTGGGAACTACATAATACACTACTATACTAGTCGCTGATACTATAGTGTGTTTCAAAAGTATAGACCTCTAGACATTTTCGAATAATTCAAATTTAGTTGGAGCTTTTTGAGAAATTTCTTCGGAACTAGTATTGCTCAGGCAGCTTGCGCAATTTTTCTCATATAAACATTTCTAAGCGATTGGATAAAATGCCCAATTTCGGAAATTTTGCGCACAAAGTGATCACAGGTTTTATGTGGTATAGATGCTGGCCTAACGGTTTTTTGAAACCAGAGGTCTGGACTTTTGAAACGCACTCTAGTCACACGTGCATGTTGTGCAAAGTGTGTGCTGTTCCCACTACCACTGTAGTAATATGCTGGTACCGTAGTAGCACAGGAACTGGGCAAGCAAGGCCTGGCAACAGTGCAGTGCTGCTATGGGACCTGAGCGGTATACGCACATGTACCGCCACAACCTGCATAGAATCTCTGCGCATTTCAAGTACGGTGTGCTCTAATCACGCGGAGGCATTCTATGTGTTCTTCTGTGCACAGATGTCCAGCTCGCTGGATGCAGTGGGATTCAAGCTAGACATAACAGCGCATTCACGTCCTGGCACTTACTATCTTGTTGTTAACGGCACTCCCAAGCTCGGGCTGGCAACAATGCCGCCGACTCCGAGACGTGCTGATGACGAGTGGTTCAGGCCACTATCATCTTCCAAGATGGGTTCCACAAGGTCAGCATGCAACTGCCTCTAGGGGTGACGCTGCCATATGCATCAGCATACCATGATTTCTGATTGTAGGAGCATGTACTGTGAAAGAAAAACACCCTTGCTGGAATTGTACCTGAGATTTTTTTAAGAGCATGCGAGGCGGGAATTGCCAGGTTTTCTAGAACTTTTCATGAAACTCCAAGAACGAGAGCAGAGAACTGCTAACGTTAGCGCTGATAATAAAATCTGTAGCCATGGATAGGAATACAACAAGGACACCTCTTCGGCTGGAGTTTAGAGAATCACTGAGAACATTGCATCTGGTTTATAGTCACCCATTCTTAGAAGTTAGAACCGTGGCATTATAACTTCAATTTATAAGCATCCATTTGCTTTTGGAGGATCCTTCAAATAAAATGAACTGGAATAACTTTTTAGACACAGCACTACCACTCTATTATTTTTTATGAATGTATATTCAAGTAGTTGCCGTATTTGACTGTGGTGGTGATAGACTGATGGTAGTGAAATGAAATGTATTTTGACGTTTACATCACGGTATACTTACAGGCAGGATATGAGGGCTCGATATAATAAATTTGAATTCCACATACTCTCTCCATCTAGTTGTCCCATTACTGAGTATAGAGACATTTGCACGGAGTCTTCCAATTCGTGATCATTGTATTCAACTTTTAAGTTTGATAGTTACGGGGATTTACGTAGTCCACGAAATTGCACAGCACATTATTATCTGAAGGTAATGCCGGATTGCGGTACTGACGTGTCTACAAGCTACAGCAAGAGCACATGATTGTATTGTGCATGAGAGAGTAACTTTAGTGTTATTTTCCCCCACCCCGGTTCACATACTCTTTAATCATGGTAGCAGATCTTACCCGACTACTGTTGAACTATGTTTTCCTCTACCGGTTACTCATATTCTGATTTGCACATGACTTTTTTATTTGATTGATGTGCAATTCTGTCCATGATAACTGCACTGAGTTCTGAAATCTGTTTATTGCTTATTTTACTTCACTGTCTACATAAACAATAAATAATCGTGAGAATGGGCATGAAAAAATGTCATAGGCCATTTCACAGCATGTCACTTTTGACAGTCCATCTTTTAGGCTTTAATTTAATTTAACTCCTGGTGTGTGGCAAGGCTAGTTACTGTGGTACTGCGTCGAAGTGGACCACTTCATGGTTGCATACAGCACTGAGTTCTCTGCACTCCGCGGGCACCGTTTAGAAAGGGGATTGCAGCCCATGACCGAGCAGCCAGCCTGGACACTGCCTGGGAGAGGTAGATAGCAGCATGCACCAACAGCAGCAGTGGTGGGTTGTGAATCTGGAACATCTCTGCACCGAACTGAAGTCTGGGCTTCAATGATACTGCTGAGCACCAATCATGACTGCAAAGTGAAAGGCATTGGAGAGGTAAGACAAAGACTAGAAGATGACTGGGAAGTTCCCAATAATAGAATTTAAAATAATACTTCGACTGAGTAGATTTAGTAGACGACCCCCGCATACATCTAACGAAGCGAGGCCAATGCCGGGGGGGGGGGGCAGGAGAGGACGAGCAAATGATCATGAGAGTATAAAATGGCATGAGGGGGTGCTCTGATGTGCACCGGCTCTTTTTTGAATGACATGATACGTCACAGTGGGGTAAGCAATCGGAGAAGAAAGCTGCACAAGAAAGCGGAATGAGAATGGCACAACGTGTGTTGCCAAGAAGCAACACGCCACGGACCCAGTCAGTCCTGCAGTCGCAAAAATGAAAATAAATACATGATCATGAGTCATTCTGTCTCAGACTCGGCCGATGGCGTTCAACAGCTGCCCGGCTGCCACTGTGCACATGTGAGACGGTTATCAGATATCTTGTATGTACAGTGACCAAGTCACAGACCGGAGAGGGGATTAATCCACTACTTGCATATTTGCATTTTTCCTTCAAACTATTAAAATTAATGACTATTATTTTAAACTTGCATTATTTTCCCGTTTGTGTCTTTCCTTCAAACCAGTGAATATTTTTTTAAGTTTATCATTAATTTTTCGTAAAACCGTCCACCTCTCCACACTGCGCTCTTGGTCCACATTCACAACACCAATCCATAGCGAGGAAGTAGTTCGTTCTTGGGTAGATGTTCCATATCCTCCAGACAGCTGTTTCGCTCATTAAAAGGGCTCCTCAGTGGAGGTAGATAACGAATGAATAGCAGATAAAGGAATGCCAGTATAATTTATTTATAGGGTAAAGTGGCGCAATTGCGCACTTTCGACATAGAAAACTGAGTCAGTGGCATACCCAAAGAAGTTGAAGGTGACAAAAGTTCTAAAGTTCTGCTATTCATTCGTTATCTACCTCCACTGGGGAGCGAAACAGCTATCTGGAGGACGTGGAACATCTACCCAAGAACGAACTTCCTCGCTCTGGCGTGGTGTTGTGAATGTGGGCCAAGAGCGCAGTGTGGAGAGGTGGACGGTTAAGATTATTTTCAAATGGCCGAGTTTGTCGCTACTTCTGAGTTATCATTAATTTTGTAAAAGTAAATCACCGTGTCCGTTCCCGAAGGGAACGGACGGTTTGGAGCGGAAGTGAAGTTTCCTAAATAGACTATAGTTACCTGTAGGAAGTTATCCTCCTTGTAGTTACATGTACCGGTATGTGTTTTGCCAAATTTTCCTGTGCTATCCTGAAGAGAAGGGAAAGCCTCGGAAAAAGTTTGATAGATGAAAGGAAGTGTCTACTTGATTGTGTGGATTTGCGTCTTTGCATGCGAAGGTATTGATTGCAAAACGGAAAGTTTTTTTGCCATCACCACACCAAGTTTTTTTGCCGTCACCACACCAAGTTCTTTTGCCGTCACTACAACACAATGACCACAATCATTATCTTGCTAGGTTACATTGTATATTTAGCATTGTTTCACCTTCTCTGCATTTATAAGCGCATGTCACGTCCTTTTTTTGTATTCTCGTGATGTATTTTCCAACTGATGATCGTGACAAGAAAACGTTCCCACTTCTAGTTCTGTCTGTGTGTCGAAAATTGACACTGGAGTCGTGTCTTTCCCTCAAACCAGTCAGTATTTTATTGGAATTCAGTTTTTTTTATTTGCATGTTCGCATCCGTCAATCATTCAACGATATACACTTTCGCTTATGCTGAAAAGAGGAGCTTCAGGAAGGGACACTGCATCAAAATTAATGGTGTCACAGAGGTACTGCTACTAGTACTAGTATAATTATGCTAGGTGTCGAACAAAAACAAGGAATTCGTTTTACCTGCAGAAAAGGTGGGTGGGTGGGTGGGGCATGGGCCGAACAATAGTCAATTTAAAGGGGAAGTGCATCGATTTTTCGAGTATGGTCCAGAAGAAAGACAATTTGATATCGGTTCGAATGGCATATCTCTCGCTTCCATACGATAAGCCAAACTTGCCAAATCGCCAATTGTATGCTCACGTTGCCATAGCGACCAGCGCAGTGATGACGTACGAAAGGCTTAGCTCCACCACAGAGAAGGTCGATCACTGCAGAATTTGGTCATTTTCAATTGGTTTATTGTATTCACGAAGTGAAAGAAGGGCTGTGTTCAATGCTGTTAGTGCAGTGAACTGTTTGTTAGTAGTCCTCTCGATTGTGTACTGGGACGTGACACCGATAGGAGAAAGCTGGAGTGCGGAGACACCAGCAGACAAGCGAAAATAGTGACGAACAAAATGCTGAAATCTTGGTTGGGACAAATCAGACGTTCAGCATTTCCCCCAACCAAGGACCATGCCGTTTGCTCTTTCCACTTCCTGAAGATGAATGTGATGCTTCCTGGCGACTCTCCTATCTCTCGTAACATCTTCTGAAGCCAGGTGAGACGACGGGTGGTGGAGATTGACGAATGAAATAATGTCGTAGGTTTGAAAGTTTGCTGAAAATGTCTCAGGAGAGATGGCGAATTCCAAGCATCTTGTCCTGGAGGAAACCATTTCCTAGGCACAGTCAGCCTAGGAAAATGCATGAGAAGGGCGATAAACAGTTCACGGCACTAACAGCATTGAACACAGCACTTCTTTCACATCGTGAATACAATAAGACAATTGAAAATGACCAATTTCTGCAGTGATCGACCTTCTCTGTGGAGGAGCTAAGCCTTTCGTACGTCATCACTGCGCTGGTCGCTATGGCAACGTGAGCATACAATTGGCGATTTGGCAAGTTTGGCTTATCGTATGGAAGCGAGAGATATGCCATTCGAACCGATATCAAATTGTCTTTCTTCTGGACCCTACTCGAAAAATCGATGCACTTCCCCTTTAAGGATTTTTATTTTGTAAAACCCCTGACGTCGTACAGTGTACATGTACCGTAAAGTACCGCCAGAGCGCCCCGTCTCGCGAGAGCGCCCCACCTTGATTTTACAGCCAGAGAAAGGAAAATCGTATGGCAGAGTGCAACGAAGTAAATAGTTTGTACGATGTAAGGTCCGCTCGAAGCCGGATTGACTGCAAAACGTGCTCTGTGTACAAGGTTCATGTCGTATGACCTACAGACAGCAGACCACCTCCACAATACGACCACGAAAGGATGAGATGGTGGGGCGCTCTGGCGGTACTTTACGATATGTATGCAAAGTTTGCAAACGCAAACGCAAACGCAAACCAGAACGTAGGGAGACACATGTACATGCCGGTATGTGTAGGGCTCCCTACTGTAGACCAGACTGTAGTACGATTTTTAGTAGAAGATGCAGGTGTGTGTCCTTCTGACTTTTCTGTTGATTTCTGGTCACTCCAATGTGACACAATATTTGAGTTGTCTTCTGCCAGTGTTAGTTTGGTTTCTTCTTTATGTTACTGTTAGCCTTCGCGGAGCTACAGCGCAGAACAGGAATCTTTGTGGAGAAGTTTTATCCCAGCCCTTTGCTTTCTAAATACTAGTACCGTGCAGTATCTCTATTTTTTGTACTATGCGTATGTGACAACTACGCCAATTATTTTCTGGCCGTCAATATCGAATGTGAATAACTCAGAAACACCCTGGCCAGCGGGCTTACCCGCTGCAGTCTCTCCGCAGAAATTCTGCTTGGGAGCTGAGTGCTTAGTATTATGTCTCGTGAAGGCTCCCCCACCATTGTTCCGCGGCGGAGAAAGCCCTTCGTGTTGCCCGATGATAGTGATGACAGCGATTCCTCTGCTGAGAATTGTACGATATGTCTCATGAACTTCGATGGACAAGTTGCTTCTCCGGATAGCTGTGCGCATTCTTTCTGCGTACAGTGTCTAAAGGAGTGGGCGCAGGTGAGTCTTGGGATGTGAAACTTGCTTGTGTCTCTTGCAGTCGGCTTCTTTCAGAATACGGGTGTTATATTTTGCATTTCAACGTACTTGTCCTGTACAACTTTTTTTGGATTGGATTTTGATTTGATACTAGACTTGTTCTATTCTTCGTCTATCATCTCGACTGATTCTTTAAATAAAAGCAGTGCAACTGAAAATACACGTATTGTCCGCCGGGGCTAGGTATTATTACTTTTCTAGTTTGTGAGCTTTCCTTGGGTAACGGGCATTTACTGCTGATCGTGGTAGTGCTGCTGTCGTTTCATACCAAGGATCATGTTCATTTACATGTGCTTGCATGCTGTCAAACAACAACATGTTTCAACTATTAAAACAAGGTTTATCTAATACCATGATTGTGTTTGTACTATGCGTACGTTTTATCTGAAACTCAATCCGAATATTTCCAGCTTCTTCATTTCGAATTGCAAAATCAAACAATTACAGCATTTTTGCTCCCGAGTATGGATATTTTATGGATGGTCCCATAATATATATTCTATTTCAGTTGGAGTACCGGTAACTAGTCAAAGTTGCTCATAAAATTTGCTCACCGTCGCATTCTATCCTGGTAACGAAATGAAAGTAGACGTCGAACACAAATCCGCTCTTGGGTGATCTGTATGGCGTATTGTGGGTAATGTAGGGACCTTCCCCTCATATCACGTGCTAGTGTGACTTCTTCTTTCTGGCAGCTGACCACGGCAGCATACTACGCATGCAAATACACACGCGCGCGCACGCACACACACACACACATACACCATGCATGCATGCACACACCATGCGCGCGCACACACACACACACACACACACACACACACACACCATGCATGCATGCACACACCATGCATGCATGCACACAAGCACAAACACACACACACACATCACCGTGGTCAATGAAAGTTCTCTTCTGCTATTCCTGCCTTGAATCCTGCGCTCTGTGTGTGAATGTGTACTATGCAGAATGTTAACACCTGTCCCATTGATCGCTTGCTCTTTCGAAATATTCTCGTCCGTAATACAACTGGCGGCCGTGTTATCAAGAAGGTGAGAGGTAGTTACATTCATTTGTAGAAAAGAAAAGGACCATGGAACTACAAGTTATGCTATAATGTCCACTAACACCACCAGTTACTTAACTTATCAGCTCATACGATAACATTGCACAAAGAAATAAGCTAGGAGCAAAACTGTGAAAACCAGGCAACAGCAGTGAACTCTACTTTCACAAAGGCAACACTCAATGCAGTACAAATGTGGGAAAAATCGGAGCAGAATAAATGCGAGGTGTGAGCTGCAACCTCTCTTGTCGCGATTTTGGAGCTGCGCGGTAGATTAGCGCAGTGAGTCTGCGTGATTGATAAGTGTAATCAAGCTGCCAGCTAGCAGGTGTTCATGCGGCGCTAACACGCTCTAGCCACAGGCTATTGCGCCGTTATAGCGTAACTTGCAGTTCCTTGGTCCTTTCCTTTTCTATATATTTTTCCTTGGCTCTCCATCCGAGTCCATATTCACATGCTTTTAATTTTTCAGTGTTGATATTTGGCTGATGTTCTGTCTGAATGTGGTCACCCTTTGCTCAGTTGAGTATTTATGCGTTGTGTAGTACATGTACAATCATGTACGCTGGGAAACACCAAGGAAAACAGATGCAAACCCAGGTATTGTAGACGCATGTATAATATGTTACATACATGTACGTTGCTTCATGTGTTCTGGGCGAAGATTTCTATTTGGGATTGAGTATCTGGAGATGAATTTCTGTACAGCATTTAGACAAGATTTCTATTTGGGATTGAGTATCTGGAGATGAATTTCTGTACAGCATTTAGACAAGATTTCTATTTGGGATTGAGTATCTGGAGATGAATTTCTGTACAGCATTTAGACAAGATTTCTATTTGGGATTGAGTATCTGGAGATGACTTTCTGTACAGCATTTAGACAAGGTTTCTATTTGGGATTGAGTATCTGGAGATGAATTTCTGTACAGCATTTAGACAAGATTTCTATTTGGGATTGAGTATCTGGAGATGAATTTCTGTACAGCATTTAGACAAGATTTCTATTTGGGATTGAGCATCTGGAGATGAATTTCTGTACAGCATTTAGACAAGATTTCTATTTGGGATTGAGTATCTGGAGATGAATTTCTGTACAGCATTTAGACAAGATTTCTATTTGGGATTGAGTATCTGGAGATGAATTTCTGTACAGCATTTAGACAAGATTTCTATTTGGGATTGAGTATCTGGAGATGAATTTCTGTACAGCATTTAGACAAGATTTCTATTTGGGATTGAGTATCTGGAGATGACTTTCTGTACAGCATTTAGACAAGATTTCTATTTGGGATTGAGTATCTGGAGATGAATTTCTGTACAGCATTTAGACAAGATTTCTATTTGGGATTGAGTATCTGGAGATGACTTTCTGTACAGCATTTAGACAAGATTTCTATTTGGGATTGAGTATCTGGAGATGAATTTCTGTACAGCATTTAGACAGAAAATGCATCAATACCTAGTCTAACCTTGCCTTTCTCTGTGTTTGTTTCAGATACCGGTCAAGGATACCAAATTTCGACCAGATGATGAAGAGGAGGAGGAGGAGGTAGAAGAACCACCGACATTCTGTGAGGAGTGTGGATTCTGTGACCGGGAAGATGTGATGCTTCTGTGCGATACCTGTGACGGAGGGTATGTTGTTGCTGTTGCTCTCTGTCACTCTCTGTCTCTCTGTCTCTCTCTCTCTCTCTCTCTCTCTCTCTCTCTCTCTCTCTCTCTCTCTGTCCCTCTCTGTCTCTCTCTCTCTCTGTCTCTCTTTCTCTGTCTCTCTTTCTCTCTGCTGTGTGTGTCTCTCTCTCTCTCTTTCTCTCTCTCTCTCTCTCTCTCTCTCTCTCTCTCTCTCTCTCTCTCTCTCTCTCTCTCTCTCTCTCTCACACACAACCATGCACTTGCTTTCAGGCATAAAAACCCTGTTGTAGAGGTCCCAGTACCTGTCTTTATAAATTTAGCTTACTGTCGAGTTCGAAACAGGACGACTGACGACATATTATCCAGACATTACAACGGGAACAGGTAGGTTGGGGGAACGACATTTATTATAGACGACGAGACAAGAGACCAAGACGAACGAAACGACTACATTCAGCCCTCACCAACGCTGTACAAAGCGTCACTGGCCCGTTTCTTAACGGTCGCGCTAATCGACCAATCAGCGTACAGCTAATGTACCAAAATTCTCAAACTTACCGTAATTCCTTGGTTCATACGGTGTAGTTTCCAAAGATTTTTTATGGACCAACGTCTTCTTTCGATAGATACCAACAGATCGTCCGCTTCGAATTTTTCGATTTGATTGCCGTTTGGCCGAAAATTACCTCCGAAACCGGCCTCCACTCGTTTCACTTCAAGGCTTTCCAGGTGGACGGCATCGCAATTCGGAAGCGGAGAAAGGATAGCCAGTGAAAAAAGAAAAACAACGACGTATTGGTTGTCAAAATCGACCAAGAAATGAATTCAATAGACCTGTTTCCGTGCTGCGCCCTCGCGGCCCGCGCGAGTGCGAAAGGGATTCTTTCTCGACAAAACAAACAACAACTACGCGCAGTACACAGGTACATGCAGGTGCTTTTTGCAGTGCAGTACACTGACATCACTGCACTGGCTGTATATACCTTAGGAATATCCTGTTCTTTTCCAAGGCATGATTGTCACTAGTGGGAGAACTCAGCCACCTGAAGCTTTCATAAAGGAAGAAGTAGTAGGTGAATGAGTTCGCCAGAAAATGGAACGACAAGAAAATAGATACTGTTGCTTTCCGGGGCGCTCATGAGACGACGACAAGATAAGACTGAAACAATCGACAGTCTGCCTCGACGCAAAAGAAACTCTTCTAGGAGAAGCTCGACGTGCTGTAGAGTTTGCAGTATTCTGCTGGAAGAAGACAAGAGAACTAAACTCAGACTACAGCGTGGAGCTGAAGCACGAGCGAAGCAAAAGCTGAGCGAGTTCGAAGAAATGGGGAAACACAGGAAAATGAGCGGGCGACATGATCTTTAGCTCGAAGCTCGCGCTAAGACACGCGGTGGGCACGTGCGCCTACGGGTAGCGCGGCCAGCCACCATGTTTTCAAAATGGAGGTCGACGCTTTTGAAATCCGTGTAGACGATGGTGAGGGCTGACATTGAAGAGTGAGAAAAGAGATCAAGTCTGAACGGCAAGATAAAGGGCCTGGGTAGCTATGGCAAATATGGGCGCGCAAGTAGCTACCCAGGCCAACGGAACAAAAGGAGACAAAAGGTGAGTACGCAAGTGCATGCAGGCCAGCTAGAAAAGGTACGGGAGGTGGTACCCAACATACCACCCCTCCATGAAAAAAATCCCGCGTCCTCGCGGAGAGAAAAAAAAAGAGAAAAAGATTTTAAAAAAATGACTGAGAGGAGAAAAAACACACACACACACACACACACACACATATTGCACGCGCGCACGGATCTCACGAAAGTGTGTACTAAAAATGCACTACAGATCATTCCTGTACTACTTATAGTGTGTAATAACTATTGGAGTTTGACGAGGAACGTGAATTACTAGTATTTTGCACGGCTAATACAGCCTAGTTACACTTTTGCTTAACATCCAAAAATTAGAGCGTGGCTCACCATGATCGGACCCCTAACTTGGTAATGTTTTACGAACACACGCGCGCGCACACACTACAAAAAAAATTCACGAAAAAAATTTGACGAAGAAGCATACAAAAAAAAAGAAAGAGAGAATGGTAGCTGACCTGCATGGCTTGAACGAGACTAGACGAGGTTGGCGTAGGAGAGACGAGGTTGATAGAGACGAGACGAGGTTGGCGTAGGAGAGACAAGACTGACATGGACGAGACGAGGTTGACATAGACGAGACGAATGGCGGTTGAGGACGACTGGGCATGGGATGATCTCAGGGTCGTGGGTCGATCAATAATCGGGCGCCAATGTTGAGTTCGAAACAGGACGACTGACGACATATTATCCAGACATTACAACGGGAACAGGTAGGTTGGGGGAACGACATTTATTATAGACGACGAGACAAGAGACCAAGACGAACGAAACGACTACATTGAAGAGTGAGAAAAGAGATCAAGTCTGAACGGCAAGATAAAGGGCCTGGGTAGCTATGGCAAATATGGGCGCGCAAGTAGCTACCCAGGCCAACGGAACAAAAGGAGACAAAAGGTGAGTACAGTTGAACATCGATTATCCGCACATCGACTATCCGACCATTCGATTATCCGTAACAGTTTTTTTGGGCGCACGTGCCGTAGAGTACGCACTGTGCATGTAGTGAGCCATTCAAAAAATACGAAAATTTTGAAAAGTAAAAAGGTCGTGCGGCTAGTAATAACCACTGAAAGTGTGTGAGTGACAGTTTTTTCTTATCTGGAACAGTTGCCTTATCTGAACACCGCCTGACAGTTGTCTGCCCAGAGGTGGTCGGATAATCGATGTTCAACTGTACGCAAGTGCATGCAGGCCAGCTAGAAAAGGTACGGGAGGTGGTACCTAACATTACTTACTCTGTGTGTGTGTTCGTTTGTGTGTGTGTATTTTACTGCTCAGCTATCACCTTGATTGCCTGAACCCACCACTAGCTGCAGTGCCAACTGGTAGCTGGTCCTGCCCTGTGTGTAGCTTTATTGATACATCCAACGCTACGCCACCCGTGTCTGATGATGGACAGGAGGAGGAAGAAGAGGAAGAAGAAGAAGAGGAGGAGGAGGAGGAGGAACACTCGTCCGACAGCAGTGATGATGACGACGATCCTGGTCTGAAAATCGCAAGTGACTCGGACCTTTCTCTTGACTTTGGGGACTACGAGGTGTGTTCTGCAGTGTTTACAGTACACAATTCCCACCATCTGCCTCTAGCTTTCGGTGATGTGTTAGCTGCGCACTCGTTTTCATGAATAAATTTGCTCCCTGGATTCCTTGTATGTTTCCTTTGTTGACATCCGTCTGTTCCGTGTGTTGCTTTGGATTTCGATGCATGTATTTACTGTCCATTGTTTTCTTCAACCTTTCCGTGTCTGTGTGCGTCGGTGTTTTGTTGTTTTCACCATTGCATAGGTTGACAATGACTACATGCCTGGCGCTGAAGCTGCCTCTAGTACTGGCTCACCGCTGAGCAGTGGTGGAGCCGTTGGAAGTCGCGCAAGCTCACGGTCGTCCACCCCGGGCCAAGCAAGAAACCCCAAGCCTGCTGCTACCAGGAAGCGTAAGACCAAAGCAAAGCCCAGCAAAAAGCGGAAAGTGGCCGGCAAGCGGAAGACGAGCAAGCGGAAGACAAACAAGCGAAAAGCTGCTAGCAATGACAGCGGTTCCAGCAGGAAATCAGTACGTGGATCTAGGCGACGGAAGAAGCTGGGTGGAAGAAGAGCACGGAAAGTCTTTCGGATACCAAGAGTGCCAAGGCAACAGCAATCATCCAATGGCCCCAGGACAGTAGCTGCTGTCCGTGAATCTCGGCGGCGCAGTCAGGATGTGGCAACGGTACGAGGAGCCAGCGTTGGTCGGCAGCGGCACCAGGCAGTGCCTCGACCCCGGCCGCTCCCTCCACCACCAAAGAGAGAAGAGAATATGTCTTGTAAGTTCTTCTTTCTTGCCTCGTACACTCCTTCTACCTATTCCTCCTGTTTGGCTGTTGTGGCAAGTGCTGTGCTCTCTGTGTGGTGGCAACGTCATGGATAAATTGTTCGTAGTATTAACGTTCTGCACTGCCTTCGTGTCTGCTTCTTTGTCTTTAGCGGATGATAGGCAGCGTATGCAGACTCGACGAACAGCCATTAGGCGGCTACAGCGAGAGATTTGGTATGACAGTCACCCTGAAGCCGGTGATTGCCTTCCACCACATTTAATCCCTGCTGGCCAAAGCTCTGCCGATGGGCCGCGGTAAGTTTCAGTTAGGCCTGCTCTATCTGTGTTTGCCATGCTCCGAGTCATGTCACCTAGCAACGCTATATTAACTTAAATCAGCTTCCTGGTGATTGTTCTTGGAAACCATTACATTTTTGGCATGTAGTGTTTACGTTGTCTTGCATTGAGCATGATACGAGTAGTATTGCCCTCAATCATTTGTGGCACTCTGCTACATGGAAGACTACTGCTTGTCAACGCCCATGCATCAGCTCTGGGTTTTTTCTGTAGCGAATCACTTCGCCCATCTAACTTAACTTTGTTTTGTCTTGGTTCTATGTGTTATTTGGTGTAGAAGTCGTGGAGTAGCATCATCTTGCTCTAGCAAGCCGCAAACATCGTCATCCACAGATTTAATTGGTGACATTATGCAGGAAATCAACAACGTAGCACGTCCCCAAGCGGCATCCGTTGCTCGTGACGGCTCCGTCCTTTACTCAGCAACTAGTAGCAAGGTGTCATGTGAGTGGTAAACTATTGGTTTTTCTGTACGAGTGTCTCTCTCTCTCTCTCTCTCTCTCTCTCTCTCTCTCTCTATTTGCCTCTCGCTATATCTATCTACATAAGAAAGAGAAAAAGGTCCACATTACACGGAAGAAACCAAGGTGTTGGCACGTAGTCTTCATAGTCGATGCGTAGGATATGTGAAGCGCTAACATGGGCCATTCCAGTCTTGGCTGTGCAGAAGGTATTGTGGTGCAGCTGCGACTGGGTATTTACTTATGCTCTATGTCACGCCAGGCTTGAATGCTTGTATGTAAAATTTATTTTCGTGGTGACATTTTGATACTAGTTCATTTCTTTTGTTGAGGCTCTTGGGATACTTGACATTGTGAAGGATTTTGAGCTTGTCGGTTCTGCAAGGTAGCATCTTTCGACTTGTTAGGATGCGCTTACTCTCCCCCGGCAGTTTGTGAAACCTCTCTTTGTATCTATCTATCCCTATCTCTCTTTTTTCCTCTCCTTTTATCTCTGATCTTTCTTTCTCACTCTCTCTCACTCTCTCTCTCTCTCTCTCTTCTATCTATCTATCTATCTATCTATGTTCCGGTATCTATCTCTAGATTTTACTTTACACGTAGGAGTATTGTGTTCTCATTCTGGTGTTACCATTATACATGTACTGGTTTTCTGTACATGAGCCGAGCCAAGCTAAAAGGTGGCTTAGGCATAATTTTTGGAAATTTCTTTTTTCTTGCCAAAGTGATGTCTATATATCCAACTTCCATCATGGAAATTTTGGTGCCCATCTGAAATGTATGTGCCATAAATGAGCATACATTGTGCACATGTCACAGAATGGCTGGTATCAATGACACTAAGGATTCCAAGACCTTCCCAAACTCCAAGAAAACATGGGACACCAAGTAGAGACAAAGCTCAGCAGGTGTGCAAGCAATAAAAGAAGAATGGGCACTTGTGTTCTACTTAGAAGATCCAAGAAAGAAGAAATAACAGATCTACATTAAATTTTCATCATGACTCATGTCATTTTATTACGCAATACGAATTTTCATATCATTCAACATGATGTTGTTGTGACTAGATGTTTCGCTGCGTTGGGGAACGTCGCATCTTACCAAGATAGTCCGTCATACTCTCTCCAATCACCTATGCCAGGATGAATTAATCCTTTCATTTAGCTCGTAGTGCTGTGCCAGAGATCTAGCTCCATTGGTGTACTGCCCTCGCACCTGCATAGGTCCAGTAGACTGCACATCGCTAACAAGCGGCACTGATTCTTTGTCCGTCCTAGTCCATGTCATTCTCCTTCCCTGCCAAGGGTACTGGTAGAAGGCGCCACGGAACAATATGCTAGCAGGTAGAGTCAATGCATCGCTTCGTCGTGTGGCACTATTTCCTTGAAACGAGGAAATTTTGGAATCCAGTACGCCACGTCATGAACACTAAATTGAAGGTAGCCGAAACAAAGTGAAACATCGCAGCAAGAGCCAATTCACCAGGCCGCTTGTCAGAATGATAGTCGGAAGGCTTGTAGACGTCTCCCCATAGCTACACTCGCCACTCTAGTCGTGGCCACGATAAGAAACACAGCCACTATGAATGAGCGACTCTTCCTCGTCAAGTAGGTTTTGGCTCACACGTATACAGAATGTCATCCTGCTCACCTCCACAGTCTCTAGAAGCTCCATTACGATCTCTGACAGCGCTGAGGAATCCCCACAACGATGAAAGAGGGAACACTGAAGAAGTGTTGCTCAAACATAAAAAAAGGCTTCTCTCTTCATCCGCTTGCAAACTGGAAAGTGAATATTTTCGCGATCGCGCTCGAGTAGAATTTTGCCAACTGTGACGTTTTGGTGATTTTCTCGATTTGTTGGCAAAACACGAAGCCACTTTTTAGCTTGGCGCGGCTCATATGGCTATGACCCACTCTTCTTTCTTCTGCTTTGATGTTGATGTGCTGCGGGGGCTGTGTATTGTGTTTGTTGTACAGGTGCGGTGCTGTCTTCAGCAAATGCTGGAAGTGGACCAAGTGGACCAGCGACCAGCTCATCTCTTGCTCCTGTCTTCTCATTCGCTACTGGCTCCTGCATCACATCAAGGCCAGCCAAGTCATCACTGCCAGGATCTGAACACCCTAGCCCTGCATCCTCGAGTCAACGGCCCGCAGTTGCTCAAGACTCTGCGTCCATCCATTCCATTGGAAGCGCCTCATCGCACCTTTCTCTTCGTTCTGTTGCCAGTAGTGCTGCACGTGATGCTCAGCTGGCCGCCTCTGATGATGACTCAATGTCGTTAGATTCTCTTGACAGTGTTTCGTCACATCGCTCTTCCGTTAGATCATCTGCTTCGGTAGCTGGTAGGGTACCGTCAGGCAGTAACTCCAGTTCTTGCTCTGCCAAACTGCGCCCTGTTGTACCACCACCGGCCTTTGCCAGCGGCGGTGAGCCGAATACTTCTTTGTTTGCTGCTGGGGTGGGATCACTTGCACGAAACTCGCCAGCGGCATATACCAGCTCTGCAGCTGACGGTGCTGATCCACTCAGTGGCACTGTGTCAACTCCATCTCCGTCGATGCTGGCAGCAACAAATAACAACGGTGGCAGCAGTTGCAGTGAGAGAAGCAGTGCTGAGAAGATGGTAAGTGGAAAGTTGTTAGGCCACTGTGGGAGGCCACCCACGCCACAGTCGCCCGCGACCACTCCTGTTGCTACTGCTGACACTGCGACTGACACTTCTACTGCGACTGACACTGCTATTGCTACTGATACTGCTACTGCTACTGATACTACTGCTGATACTGCTGGTGCTACATCTACTGTTGTTGCTGTTCCTGCTGTATGTAGTATTGTGTCATGTGATTCTATATCTTCAAGTAACAGAGCTGTACCATTGCACTTATCGCAACAACACATGACCACTTTGCAATGTGGCAACTCTCCCTCGGCCACTGTCCAGTCCCCTTCATCCGACACTTTTTCTTTGAGCAGTTGTGCTGAATCTGATCCTGACAATGAGCTGGAAAGGCAGCAGCAGCAGCAGCAGCAGGTGTTGCCTTTGGCGCCACACTGCAGTGCCAACGAGCAGGAAGACTCAGCTGATGACGATTTTGATCTGCGAAGTGAGGCCAGTGACGAAGGTAGCCTGGATGATCATGCAACTGTCCATGAACAGGATCCGTCAGCCCCAGTTAGCTCTGCATGTACCTCTCGCATGTCACCAGAATCCCCGACTGCTGATTGCAAACAACCCTCACCACAGGATTTTAATTCCGTCTGTGCCAATAGGAGAACTTCTTCAACTTCACAAGAACCTGGTCAAGAAGTAATCCAGCCCATCACATCACCTAAAGCATCAATGGCACTGCATCCTGTCACTGCTGAACAACATCTAGCCACGGAGCCATCGGATATGGACTTTGATCTCCAGAGTGTGGCAGGTGATACATGTGTTGACGATCCTATGTTCGTGAACCAAGCCCGTCTTGGTGCTGTGCCATCTAATGGCAAGGAATTTGATACTGCAATATCATTAACGTTGCCTCGGCAGGGCTCTGGAGCAACTAGCATTCCTGATGAAGTGGTGCATAATTTCCGATCTGTTTCCCCTGCCAGCCATGGAGAGCCTACCAGTCCAGTTAGCTTACAAAGCAAACCCTCGTCGGGGGATGTTGCGGAAGAGCAAGATGAAGAGCAGCACAGTGATGTTGAAGATGCAACTGACGAGGCTGTTGAGAGTTGCTTTGACCTGCAGAGTGAGGGCAGTGTGCATGCATCTACCGTGGAGGATGGTGACGCAGGTCTCCCTGTCGAGCCAGAGACAGTCACTGATTCATGTGTGCAACGTACTGGTCTTGATGTGGGGACATCTAGCGACCACAGCAGTTCACTTGCCAATCAAGAATCATCTACACCTGGCTTGGCAGCTTCATCATCGATGGACAAGGAGTTCCAGCCCTGCAACCCTATCAACTCAGAATGTGAGCGAGATGAACCGTTGGACTTGGATTTTGATCTCCAGAGCATTGTTGGTGACCTCTCTACAGACGATCCAGTACATGTTGTTGCTGCAGCGGGCAGAGCTAGTAGCCAGTTAGCTGGGAAACCTGCTGATGATATTGCAGCCTGTGTACCCCCTTCTAGTGCGTCCACGCAAGCTATACCAGCATTACAAGCCAGCACTTCTTGCACCGAGCTCAACTCTGTACCAAACTCGCGGCACTCTGATGAAAGCACCGACGCTGGTTTGCAAGCTACCAATTCTGATCTTGGCCACTGTATTGCAAGTGATGCCGAGCTTTCTCCGTCTTCCGACGCTACTGCTGCAGTGTTGGATTTTGATCTTCACAGTGAAGCAGGTGATCAGTACGAGGAGGATGCTGCACAGAGCTGCTCTCCACACTGCCAAGCTGGTAGGGACAGTGATAGCACATCCACCCTGAAATCTCCCAGTGCTGATAGCTCTAAGGCCGTGGCTGGCGGCGATGGACCAGACAGTTTGGTTTCAGGGCCAGGCACGGCAGCAGCTGTCGAGAAGAGTGCTGCACAAAACTGTGGCGCAGACCAGGCTGTACAATGTCCAGGTGTTGCCTCTCCAACACACTCTGACATGTCTTCTCCATCAACTCGTGGAGTGGAGCAGCACTTTGCCAATGAATCCTTGCGCCGTCAAACTTCTGGTGACGTGTGTCCAGGAGGCTCTGCTGGCATTGCAAGTGATGCGGCTGCTCTTAGTGATGGCGACATCCACGCAGACCACTCTAGCGCATTGGCTGAGCGTCGAGGTGAATCGCAAAGCAACGATGTGCAGCCCAGTGATGTGGCCGATGGTGGGCTATTGAGCGGGAATGACTTCCAGGTCAGCGTGCCGCTACCGTCTGATGATAATGGTGGTGTTTGTGATAAACCTGACAATGCCAGCTCCCTTGTGCCTGCTTACAGTGAAGCACACTCCGAGTCTAGTGATGACTCACAGCCCACTAACCCAACTCGTGCACAGTGTTTCTCTGTGAAGCGCGCCGATTCACCCACACCTTCACTGGCCAGCAAAGGAGACTCCAGCGAGTTGGACTACTCGCCATCGAATAGTCCGTCTCGGCCTTGTACTCCAGACACTGACTTGCAGACACAGACACCATTGCATCGGGCTCATGAGGCAGCAGCAGCACCAGCAGCAACTTGCAGGCCATCAGCCCACGGTTCTCATCTTCGTCCTCTATCTCATATCGCCAGGAAACTGCCACCTGCCTCTGCACCTTCAACTTCTGAAAATGAACACAGGTGCGACAGGAGAGATGAAGTACCGACACCAACAGAGACCTGCTCACCCTCTTGTTCTACCTCTGCGGCTGCTCTTGGTAGTCGAGGCTCTGCCACTACTACTCATGCCCCAGAAGATCAGACACTGGTGCGCGGAGCAAACATTGCGCCAGCAGCCACAGTGCCTCCGGGAAACACCATCACAATTCCCAGCCAGGAAGTTGCCCGCAATCATCTTAATCAAGAATGCAGGAATGACGAGCGGTCTACAGCATCGCGGACATGGGCTGAAGGTAGCGTACAGCATCAGTTACGGCTGGAATATGAACAACAACAGCGGCAACGTTTGCTTAATCGCCGTGCCGGTTTTCTTAGACGAAATGAGCAGCAGCAACAGCAGCAAGAATGCAGTGTGCCCCGTATTTCATTATTGTCATCCGAACACCGAGCTAATGCGAGTGACCGAGATGATTTGGAGTCGGTGATCTGCGTGGAACGTTCCCCAGAACCAGTAGACGTTGTGGTTATTGAGAGTGAAGATACTGCTAGCCCTAGGCTTTTGAGCACGTCTCCCGTTGATCCACAATTTCTATCGGTGTCGACTGGCTCACACGTATCTTCACGACGGGTGCGAGTGTATTCTCCAGCTAGCGATGCGCCTTCTGCAAAGGATTCGCGTCGGAAGACGGGAAAACGCTTACGGGACCACTCCTCTGGAGGCGAGACGCGTAGGAAAAGAACCCGATATCACGATGACCAGTCACCAACTCCTCCACATGAGGATGGCCACCGCCGTCACCGCCATCGTCGCCGCCGTCACCACCACCACCGCAGCGGCAGCAGCAGCAGCAATGAAGAAGACGAACACATTGGTCACCATGGTCATGACTCACAGCATCACTCGCGTTCCAAACGGCACAGAACACTGGATTCAGCTGAATTGGAGTATTTCTCCGATGGTACGGAACCCTCACCAAGCTCGGGGACATCCCCGCATCAGTCCCGTTCTTCTAAGAAGCGTCGGCGGCATCGATCTGCATCCTCTGAGTCGGATGTGCAACCAAAGCGAAAGAAGTCGCACTCTCATAAACACAAGAAACGTAAGAAGAAGAAGAGCAAGAAGAGTAAGAAATCTCGGCATCGCAATCACTCGGAGGATGAGAAAGCCGTAGTACTGTCTGACAGCTCTCTGTCTCTCCAGCTCAGTAGCAGCTCTTCTCTGTCTGGAAATCCCACCCAGACTGTGCCAGGGACTTCTTGTAATGATCCTCCTGTTGCGACTACCACCCCTAGTGCTGTTCCAGTTGATGTGCTTCCCCACCACAACCGTTTGCCCAGCATCTCACCGAAGAAGAACTGTCCAGAAGCTAGAGCGCCAGTTTCTATTGAAACATACCCTGACAGTTCTTCTGAATCTCATGCTGGCCATCAAGTCGGCCAGCCTGTCTTAGCACAAGCAGACGGCGCAGCAGCAGCCAAGTTGGTGCCATCCGTTTCTTCTCCCGGTGCTGGCGTGTCGCTCAAATCACCACTCAATTCACCAGTCAAACGAGGCTTGGAATATCGTACTTTGCCAGGAAAGCCAGTGGTCGCCGCGGCTCAGGAGCCGACCGCTGAAGATCTGTTTGGTGATCTTGTCAGCCAAGTGGCGTCGGCTGATTGTCACGCTGGACGCAGCCTGGATCCTGTAGAGGTAGAGCAGAGCGGAATGCGCTACACGAAATCTGCAGCGACTGTGTTCACTCCGAACAGCGCTACAACTAAGCCGCTCACAGCTACAGGCAGTGCTACTGCTGCACTTGAGCAACGCCGCGGCGTGGGAAAGCCAACAGGCCTGGTCTTGTCCAGCCAGTCTAGTAGATCGTCCATTGATATCGATTTCGACGATGTGGACAGCTCCGCTGGTGAGGCATTTGCCCATATTGAAAAGCCTGTGGACGATAACATTGGCAATCTAGCCAACCCGGAAATCGGCAATCAGGACGATGCGGTTATGGAATATGAAGACTCTCTGACATTATCATTCTCTAATAAATCATCTCCACTTCAGCTAGAGCTAGAGTCCTTGCCGTCGACGGTCGAGGTGGAATTTGGCAGCGATCTCAGTAGTGCCGATAAGCTGATTGTCCACGATGCACCCGCGGGTCAACAGCAGCAGCACCGCGGTGAGAAGCTCACCAGTGCTGAGATGTACACCATGGAGAAAGAGCAACGCGTGCGGTCACATGGCCAACTGGAAGTCTCCTTGACAGAGTGGACCACCGGCAACGAAGCTGATTCTGTCAGTCAGCGTTCTGAGAAGATCATGCTGCAGATTGAGTTGGGTAGGCTTCGCGACAACCAGATTCTCAAGAAGATCAAGGCGATCTCCTATCGAGAGAAAGTACACCGCTGGTTGCAGCGCTCTGTGAATGCTGATCCACCAATCGATGTACCTCTCAATAAGTACGAGGAAGCTGCACTGGCTAAGGAGAAACATCTTGCAGAGCACGCTAGAAAGGTCTCCGAAAAGTCACCAATGGAGGCGGCTGGTCCGAGGATTCAGCGTTCTACTTCCGCCACCAGTCTGACTAGTTTGATGGTGTCCGTGGACAACGACGACATCAAAGCACGTGCTGTTGATGAGTTCTCTTTCAGACGGTCACAGCCTCTACCCACAGCACAGCAGCAGCTACCCACGCCTGGGCTGTCAAAGCCAGTTGCTGCTGCTGCTGTTGAGCTAGCCACTGCATCTGATTTCGGCCCGTCCAGTCTGATTTGTCGGAAACAGCCCTCTCTTATTCCAGGGTGTACGCCACAAGACCTTGCAGCTAGCGCCTCACAGCAAATATCAGAAGCTAATGAGGAACAACAAAAGCAGCTACCACAGCAGAATGAAGGCCTGGAGCGGCTGCAGCCGAAGAAGAAGCCAATATGGCTGCAGGTTGCCGAGTCTCTGCCCCCACCACCGCCACCACCTTGCCAGCCGCCTGTCCGACCTAAGACACATGGTAACAGCAGTGCAGCGTTGTCTCAGAATAGTAACTCCATGGCGGCTATTGCTCCTACAGGTTCCAGACAAATACGACCAGTTGTGCGGCAGACCCTAGTGCCTGCATCTGCAACGCAGAGGTTGACTACAAGTTTACAACAGCCAGCCAATGCCCCCAAAACTTATGTTACAGCACCGTCTTCACACCAGCAGCAGCAGCACAGGCCAACGACCAATGGCCAGTACTCGGCACAATATCAGCCTCATGTCTCTTGCCAGGATGCTTCCATGAACAATAGGCAACGGTGGCCCCTGCCAGCTGTTACTCACACAAGCCAGCCTGCCCTGCCGCTTCCCAATGAGCTATACTCTCAATCCCAGCAAGTACCACATCACCAGTTTGAAGTTCCAGGCGACATGTCGCTACAGCCTCTGCTCACTCCAGCTCATGCGTCCAATACTAATAAGACAAAGAATAAACCCGCTGTCCAAGTGGCTTCGCAGGCAATCCCTGTGGATCTGGACGAGTCGCCGTACAGTCCCAAGTCCGTTTGGAGTGAAGCTCCGTTTGCCTTGACTCGAGACGACGACCCACTCAGCAAAAACTCTAGGGATCCCCGCTCCAGGCATGCTGCCAACCATTCCTCTAACGCATCCGGTTTAGCCCAGCTCGCGGCTGTTCTTCCAGCATTGAGCCCACTACTGCAGGTTCAAGCCACTGATCCTGCCGACTCCTCACTAGATTCTCAGGAGTTTGAGATCGACCGGTCGTCCCATTCCAAAATGGTAAGATCCGGGCACATGGAGTTTTGTGTGTGAGATTTTTTAGTTTTTATCTAGTGCTAGTTCATCAGGCTGCGCTTTGTGACGCCTTTACTGTGTATTAAGAGAATGTGAATTCACGATAGCGTAATTGTGCTATATACATACTTGTACAATGCTGCCTGTTCTTTTCATTTGGCATCGGCTGGCATGATGAGCATGGTGCATGGTTATTCTCCTAGCATTAACATTTGCCAACTGGTTTATGCTCTGATCTGAAGAAACGGTGATGCTGTAGCAGTAATGCGTGGCCCTTGCCGTGGACGGTTCGCTGTACGTTATTGTGTTGACCATATTTGGCTTTGTGGTGGTGGGCGGGGCTAACGTTCTCGGCGTTTTGTATCACCGGCCGATTGTGCAAGTTTTCCCAGCTCTACGATGGCAATGTGGACAGAATATAGACAAAAATGTGTACGTGTGTGTATGTGTGTGTACGGATGTGTACGTGTGTGTGTGTGTGTACGTGTGTGTTCTGTTTGTTTGATTTGTCCAGGAGGTGCAGCGAAAGATTGCAGAGGAGGTTAAAGTGGTGCTGCGTGATGCTTTCAACAACAACGCTATCTCCAAGGCAGAATACAAGGACATTCTTCGCCGCGCTGTACAAAAGGTATGTGGTATCCCTCCTGCAGCATTAGTTTGCTAGTGCTATTGTCGAGCTACTGTTAGTGATGCCAGGTGTAGATCTTAAAAACCATTTTTGAAAATGCCATCGAATGCGTATTATACTGTGATCCGCGGTACTAGTACCGTAAAGTACTATTAATCCCCCCCCCCCCCCCCCACATGCCGGGCGTGTCGCTTCCCAGCTGGTTTTTCAGCAGAGGGCGGGAATTAGATCAAGTCGTTCAAGTGCAGTACAATGTACAACAAAGCAGAAGATCAGACCTGGAATGCTGGATTGTGCACATTTTCATCCTGCACTCGCACTTATTGTGTACAGCAGTACATGCGTTGGTTCAACGTCGTATTTCGTTTACGCCGACGTCACTTCACAGGCAGAAATTCGACAGGGGGGGGGGGGGGGTTAGAGCGGGGGGGGGGGGGGGGGGGGCAGATCAACGGTACTTTACGGTACTAGTATTTACTGTAGATCGGGTTTAACCATGTTAAAATAATATATCATGCCAAGTTGTAGGCTCACTCGCGTCTTTTGCTAGCTTATCTCGCCACTATTCACCATGGTCAACATAGTGATAAATTTCACCCCGCTGATGCGTTCTTTTCTTCCGATTATTATGTTCTTTCCTGTTCTCTTTCTTTTTCCTTCTCTTACCATGGCTGGCTAACGCCCCCTCCTTTGCACTGGCTTCTGCCTTTGGACGGTGAAATAAAATAAAATAAAATTGAACCAAGTTGCCACCGGTTAGCGAGGGAACAGATATAAGAGGACTGGAGGCGCAGGATCTGACTTTGAACTGTGATCACTGTATGTGCAGCTGAGTCACTTGATGTTTGGTGCACGTGCACAAGTGCCTCACTGATCAGCTCAACGATTTCCTTGCGGGCAGCGAACACCGGCGACGAATACTCCGTTTGAGGTTTATGGATGCAGTCCTTGTGAAATATTTAGTAGAGCCGCTTGAATTGGGCATGCAGTGATCACAGTTCGAAGTCAGATCCTGCGCCCCAGTCCTCTATTATCTGTTCCCTCGCTTCGCTAGCCGGTGGAGAATTCGTGCTGCTGCTGCTGCTGCTACTGACTTAGGGTCGATCTTAGGTAAGACATCAAGGTTGCGTTTTGCTTTTGTCCGGTTGGTAGAGTCGAGAAGAACAGATGCTGGAAAAAGAGAAGGACGGTACTACTAGATGGTGGTTCACGCTGATATACCCATTTCGGTCCAACATCGATTTAAAGTCTGTATGTTCAATTTGTACAGTAAGGTGTACGGTACCTTGTGGAAACCCGCTCTCATGGCCACACATGTACAGAAATACCATACATCTACCAACTTTACCGACTTACCAACCTCGAACCTGACAAAGCCAGTAGAGGAAAGTAGAATCTATTGTTTGGATGAGAAAACAAACACATCTACCGAAAGAAGTAGTTTCTACCGAGACCTGCAGATCAAAAACGACCCCCCCCCCCATCTTTCATGCCATCAGCTGAAGTCCAATAAAATTGTATTAATAATAATAAATGGTTGCGCTCACTGAATCTGACCCGAAGTGCAAAACTGACGCCCTGGACCAGTTCCGATTACATCACTGCACTTGTACATGTGTACGTCTAGCCACATTCATGCCGCCTTCAGGGCGCCAAGGGCCATGCAGGTTGAAGGTGCCAAATACGCTTCGGGTCGGATTTCACCGAGCACAACTGTACTCCTGTAAATAAAGTAAAGCGTGGCCTAATGCTAAACTTCATGTTTATGTATGTGCTTCATCTCTCTCTCTCTCTCTCTCTCTCTCTCTCTCTCTCTCTCTCTCTCTCTCTCTCTCTCTCTCTCTCTCTCTCTCTCTCTCTCTCTCTCTCTCTCTCTCTCCATATATTATCTATTTTTAGGTATTTCACTCGGGGCAGAAAACCACCAGACCTAGTGTCATTCACGATTTGACCCGGGAGTATGTCGAGAGAGCTGTAAAAAGAAGATCAGTTCGCCTATGATATTTATTGTATCTTCCACGTGCCATAAAATATACCTTGCGGCCAAATAGGAGGTCTCCAGTATATTTTAGTATTTTTTTTTCTACGAAAAGAGGAATGGACAGAGTATGCTTGACAGGCAAATGCTGCAGGAATTAAGTTGCATATTATTATTATTCCATGTTGCGCTGCCAATATAGCTGCCCTGCGTTAACCAGCTACTATTCATCAAGCCCCATGCATGTCAACTCGCACCACATCATAATTATATAAATATTATCCAGTCTACTGGTATGTGCGGCCAGATGTGATTGAACCGGCTTAAAATATAATATTATTGTTCTTGCTCTGCACTATCAGATTTTATTATGCCGGTCGCCGTTTGCTGCTTTGTTTATCGTGGACGTTCATGTGCCTTATCTAAAACCTGTTTCCTATTTTCAACTGCTAGCAATAGCCTAACAGCCAGTAGAGTTATTCTGGTTGGGTGTCTGGTTTTTGTTCTTGTCTTTGTTCAGATGATCTGCTGATTTTATCTCCAAAATACTCCAGTTAGATTCCCGGTTTTACGTTACCCTGTTGCTTTAGAACTGGCTGTGTGCTGATCTGGATAGGATCAAGAGTACATGTACATAACCCCCGCGGGCCCGGTTGTGATAATTATGTACTCTTGGTAGAATAGAGAGACTTCGGGTGCGTTCTTAAATACTCTTCGAAAAGTTGGAGACTCTCCGAAAAGTTCGAGAGCTGTTCTTATATTCTCTCCGACTTTTAGGAGGCTTTCCTAAGCTCTCCAAGCTTCAGAGGTGGTTGAAACTTGGAGATGCCCGCGGTTTGGGATCAGCGCATGCGAACTACGGCTAAAAGCCACGTGTTGATCATGACTGTACGCATTTCCCTTTTCTAATACGCACATGTGCATACTACGTTCATAACTCCAGATCCCTTTGGCGCTTCATATTGCTTGACATGTTCAAAATATCTCCAAATTCTTCGAGACCCGTTCTTGAGTTATCCCAGTGTCTTCGACTTCTCTTTTCTTCTTCTTCTAGAAGCTAGAGAATATAAGAACGCACCCTTCATTCTGCGGTGCTTGCATGCCGTACGATTACATGCACATAGCTATTGTAAAGAAAATGTAGATCCAAGGAATGGAGAGTTCGATGTCAGCACTTGAAGAGTACATGAAAACCCGTTTTCATGTACTCTTGATGTCTGTAGTTGGCGTGGTTGCCGTGACAACACCATGCATGAACTCGCCGGGAAATTAGAATCTACGGTGTGAGTAGTCAGTACATGTACCAAGAGTACATAAGGGGTCGCCGCAAAAGTTTTTTGTCGTCCCTGAAATGAATATCATAATTATGCTGGACGACAAAAATCGCATGCATGTAAAGAGTCCATAATCCCCCGGGCCAGGCATAAGTACATGTATGTACAGTGTTGGTCGACTTGCAATTTTGGCTCATCCTCCCCACCCCCCCCCCCCCCCCCAACAAATACATAAGGGGCCGTCGCAAAAGTGTTTTGTCGTCCCTGAAACGAACGTTGTTCATTTCGCACTCGGACCCCTACCCTCCCTCTGAAACGAACACAGCTTGCTATGCTGGACGACAAAAATTGCATGCATGTGCATGTACATGTCATATCAAGACTCTTAGAGTCCATAACCCCCCGCATAAGTATGCACAGACTCAGTGTCGGTCGACTTGCGATTTTGGCTCACCCCCCCCCCCCCCCCCCCCCCCAATGAATAATGTCCGTTTCAGGGAAGACAAAAAAACTGTTGCCTCCAACTGAGTCTGTGCATACTTATGCGGGGGGTTATGGACTCTAAGAGTCTTGATATGACATGTACATGTACATGCATGCGATTTTTGTCGTCCAGCATAGCAAGCTGTGTTCGTTTCAGAGGGAGGGGAGGGGTCCGAGTGCGAAATGAACAACGTTCGTTTCAGGGACGACAAAACACTTTTGCGACGGCCCCTCAGGAGTATGTATTTGTTGGGGGTGGGGAGGGTGAGCCAAAATCGCAAGTCGACCAACACTGTACATACATGTACTTATGCCTGGCCCGGGGGATTATGGACTCTTGATATGACATGTACATGCATGCGATTTTTGTCGTCCAGCATAATTATGATGTTCATTTCAGGGACAACAAAAAACTTTTGCGGCGACCCCTTACCGTATTATCTCTAATATAAGCACAGTCTCCAATAATAGCACGTCTCCAATAATAGAACACCTTGGGGCGGCATTCAAAAAATAAAGTGCTCAGTCTCCATTATAAGCACACTAGTGTAAATTCATTATCTGTACCGGCGAAAAACCCCTGAAATGTGTGTGTCTGACATGAATTTGGCCATGGCAACATGCCTATGAAATGAGGTTGAAATAATAATGGAACAGTCTCCAATAAAGGAACGTCTCCATTAATAGCACGGGGCAGAGGTACATTGAAAAAATAAAGGACCGTGCTTATATTAGAGATATACGGTATGTACTCTTGGTACATGTACTGACTACTCACACCGTAGATTCTAATTTCCCGGTGAGTTCATGCATGGTGTTGTCACGGCAACCACGCCAACTACAGACATCAAGAGTACATGAAAACGGGTTTTCATCAGGGAGTCGTATAGACCCATACGACTCCCTGGTTTTCATGTACTCTTCAAGTGCTGACATCGAACTCTCCGTTCCTTGGATCTACATTTTCTTTACAATAGCTACTGTATATCACCTTATTTCCGGTGTTGTAAAATTTCGGTAAAAGCCAACCCCTGACTTTTCGGTGTAAGGATAAATTCGCATGGCACCAAAAAAAAAAAAAAAAAAAAAAAAAAACGCTCTTGCACTAATATCTCCGCCAAGCCAGGCCAAAAGGCTCCACATATGTATACCGGTACATGTTATGTATGTACATCAGGGAGTCGTACTCAAACTAGGGAGGTGACACGGCACAGAAATCCGTGTCACAGGGGTTGACTCGCACCCTTGACCCCTCGTTGTTATTTTTGGAATAGTTCAGTCCAGTCCAGTCCGAAAGGTCATACTCGGATCGACTCGCCTTCTGTACTTCACCTCCAAGCGTGCCGCATGGGTGTCTAGTTTTTGAAATTATTGAGGCAGCACATTTCGTTTACAGCCCATCACTCGCCAGTATTCTTTGAAAGACTACCAGCAATTTTTTTAGCTCCTGCCATGTCCGAACTACTTGATAGCAGTGATGGCGACAGCAGCAGTTATGAAACGGCGTGTAGTGTTGCGGTAACTGTTCAGAACTTTTCAGAGTCGTATCCTAGGTTAATCCGAATACTAAAAATTGACCCAAATTGCACATAACACGAAGCTGGTTTTTGAAAATTGTAAGTCGTGTATCTGCCCCATTTCTTCTTTATGACTTGCACAATACACCAGTCTTCCTAAACAACACATGTATAGCAGGGGTTAAGTACCATATAAGAGAAGTACAGCCAGTGATATTGTCATGTTGAAATACTACAATTTTGACACAAATTACACATAACACGAAGCCAGGTTTTGAAAATTGTAAGTCGTGTATCTGCCCCGTTTCTTCTTTATGACTTGCACAATGGTCCAGTCTGCCTAAATAACACATTTATAGCAGGGGTTATGTACCATATCAGAGAAGTACAGCCAATGATATTGTCATGTCTAAACACTACAATTTTGACACAAATTACACATAACACGAAGCTGGTTTTTGAAAATTGTAAGTCGTGTATCTGCCCCATTTCTTCTTTATGACTTGCACAATACACCAGTCTTCCTAAATAACACATTTATAGCAGGGGTTAAGTACCATACAAGAGAGATACATTGTACATCTAGTCATACTGTCATAAACAGCCAGCATTTTTCCTGCAGCAGTCACACCACCATCGTCATTATTTCCAGGGAAATCCTCTTACATTGTCAGCTCCTATGTCGTTAGATACAATGTAGGGGGCTGTAGGACCGGCTCGTCAAAAAATAGAGAACCTGAACACTTGAACTGAAGCGTGCTCGGGACGTCTCAGCAATCGTAGTATGCCTGAGCACTCCAATAAAAACTGGATCAATGGCAAAATCGTTCCCCACAGAAAAATCATACTTTGCGGGTCTTGCGTTGCACGCTTGGAGGTGAAGTACAGAAGGCGAGTCGATCCGAGTATGACCTTTCGGACTGGACTGGACTGAACTATTCCAAAAATAACAACGAGGGGTCAAGGGTGCGAGTCAACCCCTGTGACACGGATTTCTGTGCCGTGTCACCTCCCTAGTTTGAGTACGACTCCCTGATGTACATGTACAATGTACTACAGTCGTCCCTCTCTAATCCGGCACTTTATAATCCAGCACCTTCGATAAACCAGCACAATTTTCAGTAGCCAAAATGTCCTCTTCATGCACATTGCAGCAGTAAATCAGATTTGTTAATCCAGCACCCTCCCTAATCCAGCAGATTTTCGTGGCACAAATGGTGCCGGATTATAGAGGGACCACTGTACCGGTATACCAGTATACAAGTTGATTTTTTTAATTTGACAGTGATTTTCATGATTTTTACATATTTTTGGTATTTCGGAAAATTTAGGTGTAATGTTAAATTAGGTGATCCAGGACCAGTACCGAAGTTACCGAAATTTAAATTACACCGAAATAATGGTGTTATACAGTATGTGCATGTAATCGTACGGCATGCAAGCACCGCAGAATGAAGGGTGCGTTCTTATATTCTCTAGCTTCTAGAAGAAGAAGAAAAGAGAAGTCGAAGAAACTGGGATAACTCAAGAACGGGTCTCCAAGAATTTGGAGATATTTTGAACATGTCAAGCAATATGAAGCGCCAAAGGGATCTGGAGTTATGAACGTAGTATTATACTCTTGGTAGTACATTGCCAAGTTGTCGACTTGGAATGTTGGAGACACCTCTACCCGCGAGGGCCTGACATTACAAGATACCCTGGACAACTAACTTAGGACTATATCAACTAATGCGTGACACACCTACACGTTTCTCCTCCACGGGAACTTCCAAGTCGTTGCTGGATCTCGTGTGCACAAACAACATTGACTTTGTGAAATTCACATCTACACATCTACGCTTGCACCACTGGGCGACCACACTCCAGTTATCTTCCACTTTCATGCATTGCCACAATCGGCCGACACGACACCCTCGAGGTGGGTGCCTGACTACAAGAATTCAAATTTGAAAGCCTTGTGTGATCACCTCACCCAGCAACCTCTCTCAGACTGTATGACTGGCGCGACTCATGGTGACAGCGCTCTATTTGCCTGGCAAGGTGTTTTTTTTATCCACAGTTAATAACTATGTCCCGATGAAACTGATCACGAAGGGTAGCAGGACACGACGCGTCACAAACCGTGGTTTTCCACCAGTCTTCGCACGCTTCACCGAACTAAAGAACGACTTTTCAAGCGAGCTAAATCTACGGGCCTCCTATGCGACTGGGTCGCCTATAAAATTGTCTCGCAACGCTTTCGTTTCAGCCAACAAAACTGCAAGAGATAGCTACTACTCCCGCCTGGGACATGACCTTA